GACGAGCTGTTGTAGATCTTCACGGGCCACGAGGAGGCTGCCATTGTTGTTGAGAGAAAAAGGGAAAATGAAAAGTGACGCTCCGTTCGCTGTGTTATCACCACGTTATCGAGCACCGCCGTAATGTCCAACACCGCCGTGTCGCTCTGCGACGATTAGGTTATGAAAACGAATATATTTGATTTATCCAAATCCAACCTGTCAGCTCGAAGCGTTAAACGGCGCTTCCATTGGTTTTCATCAATTGATGTGTACCGTTGCAAGGAAAGGGACCGTGCGCTTAGCTCTTTTCAATGGATTTCAGCGGGTGGTGCTGACGACGGCCCCATAGAATGTACAGGACGGACAGCTGAGCACAAATATATGTCGCGATCACACACCAGCAGCTAGCTACAGTACTGTACGGGTACTGGTGAACGCGGTGAGGCAGGCTTGAAGTCATGGCTTGAAGTGGGCTTACCGGTATGCTTACGCCAGGGCCCCTGGCGTAAGCAATTTGCCCTGGCCCAAGGCAAATTGGTTCGACTGGATTCCAGGATATATGCAATTCGATTGGATGCATCGAATCGTCTGCCGACATGCTCACATCTCACATACTAGTACTAGTACGTAGATATGTCACATGAATCAGCAGGCAAATTCAGCTGGCAAGACCATAAACCCCCTTTAGTGACCTTTCTACATTCATTCTTCGTATCTCTTTCTGCAGTGGCCCAACAGGCATCAGTTTTGGCCGGCAACGACCTGGCACCGCGGAGTGTAGTGTAAGCGAGAGCGTCGAGAAGCGTCAGGGCCATGCTCCCTCGGCTGTACTATGTGCCATCACGTACTAGAGTATCGGGAGCACGTAGTAGCTCATGTTGGGTCGCGTGAGGTTGTTTTCGGCGATCAGGAGCATATATTGTATTCCGATTTTTACTTACTGTTGGCCGCTGAAGTTGGGAGTCGCCTCCATGCATGCAAATTGGCCTGGCCATCAATTGAGTCAACGGAGGCTGTCGGGAAAACTTGGAAATACTTCTTGGCAGCTCCTACAGCTTGCTCTCATTGTTGGCTTGTTGATGGCTGAACTTACTTGATGGTGTCCAAATGAAGCTCAAAGTTACAGGTAAAGTTGCCACCTTCGCATCGCAACTATAAAGACAGAGCCAAGTATTTGTGGCTGTCAAGGTCAGAGCGTGGACTCATGGTCAATGTGCATTGTCGGTTCGTGACACCAAGGGCATACAATGTCCCGTGTGTATAAATACATCAAGCACTTGGTAAAACCGTTTTGTTCATCACCCATTGCCCGCACCATGACCGACGCCTCTGCCAACCCCTCACCACAGAGTGCTCCAACCACCAGCGGCTTTAGTTCAATCTCAGTACTCTCCTGCACACGACGTTGGAATCCTAAATGTAGCGTAGCACGATGTTGGTTCCCCGTCGCGACTGTACTTGCTGCATGAGAAGGCCGAATATCTCTTCCTCCAGCTCCAAGCTCGGGATCAAGACCTCGCGCTGTACGAAGCCAAGATGGACACGTACACGAAACTCGAAGGCAAAATGTCAGCCAAGATCCACGAGCTCCAAGGCCAAGTTGCCTATTACGAAGGCAAGTTCAAGGAGGTGCGGGTTGCTCGGTGTCGAGGAAGTATCGATTATTCTCGACTAGGTGGACCACCTTCGCCGGCTCGACTTGGACGAGCTTGAGCACTTGCGTCACCGTAATCAGGGACTCGAAAACTCCCGTGATGACAGCCGGGCGGCACAGCTACGTCTTCAGCAAGAGGTTGCGATGACACGGTCCGCGCTCATCGAGCAAGAGGCCACCGTAGTCCAACGAGACAAAACAATCGCACACCTCGAGTCCGAGTACCGCCTCGTCACGAATGACTACCAGAAAGTACGACGCTCTGACTGCTTTACACGATTGCCGATCACGCTTTTAGAGAGAGGAGGAATACGAAGCCTCATCGAAGGCACAGCATCGGCAAATAGAAGAGCTCAAAGCCACGATTGCGCAGCTGGAGGAAGTATCGCGGCAGCATGTGCAGCGCGTAGTACCAGCATAATGGACCGATTCGGACAGACTCCTGTCTCTGTGAATAGGACGGTGAGAGGGACCGCGTCGTCGAGCGGCTTCGAATCGAACTTCGTGCCGTGCAGGACGCACACAACGATGGCGAGGCCCAACTTGCAGCCCTGGTACGACGCATAAACTTACCTCGTGCTAAACGTCGTTTCCTGATTTAGGGCTTGGTCGCACAAGACTCGGCTCAAATAGTGGCGCGACTAACGCAAGAGGTTGCCGACGCGCAAGCCTCAACGACGCTCCTCGTAGCCTTTGCGACCTACACCTTTTGTAAGCCATCGCATTTTTCATAGCGCGAGTCCGCGGGCGAAGAACGTCGCGTCTGGGCACAATGTGAAGGTGAAAAAGAGGTAGACTCACAACGTCCATCCATATTTACGAGATGGCCTTGACGATAGAGGCTCATAGTCGAGACGCAGAACCTTGTCACTCGCCAGGACACGCTCCTCGACTGGAGCTGTCGCCGCCTCGATCGCGCATGCGACCTGCAGCTGCAGCAAATCGTCTTCATGACATGGAACTTAACCACGCAACGTGCCAAGAACACGCACATGGCTCTCCAGCTTCAGCGGTGCGAAGCCGCGTTGCCACGCTTCGTCCACGAACTCGCTGCAACCCGGGAATCGTTGGGTCAACTTCGAAAGTCTGTTGCCGAGCTCAGTCCTTCCCGTACACTATCAACCGCGATCGTCCAAGCGTGCAACCAGGTGCAATCTTGACCACGTCGTGTCAACGTGACAGAAATGCATACGTAGGCCGTGCTGGAGCGCGACGTAGCCTACCGCTACATCGACTCGCTGACTTTTGCCAATCAGGAAAAGAGCGCCCAGTTGCATCAGCTGCACACCGACCTCACTCTACTGCGCACAAAGAACGAGCTGGACCAGCGCAGTAGCAGCGACGAGCGTGCATTGCTCCAGCGCGATGTCGAGCACCTGCGCAATGTCGCGAATGACTCCAACGCGACTCTGCGTCGAGATCAAAAGCTCGTTTACCGCCTGTGCGGAGCTCGCGCACAAGCGAGAGCGACGCTGTTGGCAACAGTCTTCTTTTACGTATACTGCCATTCGATGCTCCAACAGTGCTCTGATGTCGGCACATGTAGACGTGGCGAGATGTGCATCGGCGTCGGACACTGGGACGATGGTGCAACGAGCTCCTTGCTGTAGCGCTTCTTCGCTCTGTCCACGTACTGAGCTTGTGGAGCTAGAATACTGGCAGTCGAGGGAGCCCGCGCGTGCCCGAATGGCATTTCATGGATTGTGCACCACGGACGACATTGCGAAACATGACGCTGCACTTCACAGGTCCCTTTGCCACGCCGACCGATGAGTAGTCGTGTCGCTACCAGCCGCGCCATGCAGATCTTGCTTCTTGCCAGCAGCTAGCTCAATAATGTCTGAATCTCGTGACACTCGGTTTATTGCAAGCGAAAGCGGGGCGCTCTGGATACAGCATAATGCAACAGCAGAGTGCAGTCTATTACGACGCGGCCTTCTGCGGCAGCAACGGCGCCTTCTCGGTGCGTTTCGTGGACGGCGAGAGACTGGTATACGTAAACACGATCAGTGCCAAGACGACGCACGTGAATCCAATGACGAGGCTCTGCGATGGCACCTCGTCAAAGGCAAAGAGGCCGAGGAGTGTATTGAGCGTCGGTCCGAT